AGAGGAGGCTCAGAGGTGACCTCATCACCGTCTATAACTACCTGAAGGGGAGTTCTAGCCAGGTGGGGGTTGGTCTCTTCTCTCAGGCACTCAGCAATAGGACAAGGGGGCACGGGCTTAAGCTCCGCCAGGGGAAATTTAAGTTGGATATCAGGAGAAAATTCTTTACAGAGAGAGTAATCAGGCATTGGAATGGGCTGCCCAGAGAGGTGGTGGATTCACCATCCCTGGAGATTTTTAAACGCAGATTGGACGTTGCACTGAGTGCCATGATCTAGTAAATGGACTGGATTTGGACCAAGGGTTGGACTCGATGATCTCGGAGGTCTTTTCCAACCCAATCGATTCTATGATTCTATGATTCTATGATTCTATGATTCTATAACAAACTAATATATTTGCAAATTTTGCAACAAATAGCTGTACCTGTAAAAATGCATGTCCCACACTGAAATATTAAACCTCGTACATGGGGTTTAATTGAGTGTAACTGAGTCAGGATGGTTGAACACAGGTGTCTCTTTTAGCAAACATAAATAAAACTGGACAGCATTCTCATCACAGATGGTCAGAGACTGTATCTGTGCACTTTCTTTCTCCTCACGTTTGAGAATTTGGTCCTGAAAGCTGGATTGTGGAGGCTGAAGTCAATGCAAGTCTGCAAGTTGCTTCTGCAACTTAGGGAAAAGTCAGACATGTAAATGGCACTGTAATCCCAGCCAGAATTAAAACTGAGCTTATCCCAGTCAGAATTAAAACTGAGCTTTCCCAAACACAGCATCCTAATTTGGGCAGAATGACCAGGTAGATCTTATGGCTTCTAAACCTGAGTGTGCTCAGGTCCAGCTTCATCTGCTCCTCCCTGTCCATGCCATCCTGGTTTAATATTCTGCGTGTAGTTGGCACCAGCCAAATGAGTGCCTGCATTGTAAGGCACCAGCTATAGTGCCTTGGATCTTTATACAGCAGTAAGATGAATTGTTTGAAAGCCTTCACAAAATTGTTAAGCAGACAGTTTAGACATTTTGATGAGAAGAGAAGGTTTTATTGTGACGTGACTGACAGTCTCTGTGAAGGGTATTTACAGTTTGACTCTTGTTACTAAAAACACCGTGACAGGTAGAACTTGATGCGGATGTTTAATGGGAGATGAAGGGAAATTATGACAAAAAGAGCTCATTAAACATTTCCGTTTTTTACAACAGTTAATTTCACACACAGAACTAGAATTTCTAAGCGGAGTGTGCACCACTTAACACAAGCTTTTTGGGGTGAGCTTGCTTTCTTTGTCTGGCTTGATGTCTGCTCTCAATGAATGGAGAATAGGAGAACTGGTCTAAGGAAGGAGCAGAGAGAAAATAAGGATGAACACAAGAAGTGCAAGTTGATACAGGAGAAGGAAGAGATACTGGGAGGGAACTGGATACTGTAAAAAGTGTGCGTTAGGAGCTGAGCTGCACAGCCGGCAGAGGAAACCTACAGGAGAGCATGATTTGCTGGGAAGGGATGCAGCAAAGAGACAGGGAAATACAAGAATCATATTGAGTAAGCAATCTTTTCATGCCAATGTCAGAGAAGTGACTTGGCAACCAGCCACCACTCATAATTGAGTTCAGCGGGTAGGTTCAAATCCCGAGATTTGAGACTCATTCCTTTCCGCCTCATTTGCACCGTATTTACATTACTTGATATCGGAGATCATGAGGAGCCAGACTATAAAGTACTTTGGTACCTGCTGACAAATGGCCTCACACAGTGGCACAGTATTGTGTAGGCACATCAGCTATCTCAGTGCATGCACAATGTTCAACACTTCTGCTTCGTGGCACTACCAGGAAGATGCTCTATACCTTCAGCCTCAGTGGGATCCCCCATGCATGGAGAAATATTTGCCCAAAGTTGTCATAGGAAGATGTATCTTACTGAAAAATCAGTGTGAATTACGCTTCCCAGCTTCAAAGCAGACTGAAATGGGGATTCTGGCTTTCAGTCTTTACACTGTGGTGAATCTCACCTCAGCTAAGCCTAACTTTAAGAAGTCATTTAAAATTCATAGTAGCCAATGAAGAATGAAATCTAGACAAATGTTTATTTCCACCTGAGAGGGACATGTCATGCAGACAGAAGGAATTTCATAGAATCAGAGAATTACAGAATGTTTTGCGTTGGAAGGCACCTTAAACATCATCTTGTTACAACCGTCTGCATTTGGCAGGGACACCTTGCACTAGACCAGATTGTTCCAAGCCCCATCCAACCTGGCCTGTGAAGTGCCTAATTCCCTCCATGGGCTACAGAGAGTCAAGGTTGGAAGGCACCTAAATGACTACTTCAGCATCCCTCACTTTTCAGTGCACAGACTAGAGGTAACTTGCCTGGGAACATACCAGAGGAAAACAATCCTAAAATGGAAGATTGATCTCTGTCCAGGGAATATAGGCAATTCAGTTTGAACTGAACCAAAACTTGCTGCATTGTTATTAAGCGTTGAATTTATTGTCAGGAGAGAGGATTCATGGTGCCTGAAACCTATCAGGAGCTACAAAAGGTTTCTCACTTCATTCATCCATTATGAAATTACTGAAAGTAAGACCTCCTAATAAAGAAAGTGTCCTTACATGTTTAAACCAGGTAGATGAGCTAGATTATTTGCCCTCAGACTGAATTTTAGAGGTTTATATAATAATGACAGCTATAAATTGAAAAAAAAATTATGGCAAGCGTCTCAATGACAGAGAGTCTCATACATGGAAGGGTGAGCAATAAATCAGATGGGCAGTGGAATATTAAATTGCTAATTTTAAGAGCTATTGCTCTTTTTTTCTCTTTTAATACATACTAATACAAAAAGGTGAAACAGAATTTCAGCTACCTCTTTCTTCCTCTTCTCTTTTTCTTCATAAATTAAAGTACATAAGTTGTTAAAAGGAAAAGCTTTAATCCCTTTAAATTTAACCATGAAATAGAAAAAAAAAATAAGGTGCAACCAGCTTCATGGAGATGACAGATTAAATGTATTTGATGATTACAGAGTAGGTTCCATGTGCCCTGTATCTCAGTCATGCTATTTACCAGGACAGCCTAGTACCAGGTGTCTGCAGACATGACTGCAAGTGTCCTATACACCCAGTCCTACTGCAGTGACCTAAATTACAGACTATACCCTGAGTAAATCTGAAACATCACTGAAGGAATAATAAAAAAGTCACAAGAAATGTATGGCAGAAGAACTGTAACATTGAACTACATGAAAAGCTATATGAAAAGCAAGTGAAAAATCAACAGCTATTTTGTGCCCACAAATACCTTAATTAGTTATGCAACGTGAGCTATTTTACTAGATTTTCCCAAGCAACATGACGATGCCTCCGTGCTTCTGGTGGCTTATCATGAAATATTTATGGCAAGGTTTATTTGTCTGTGCAAAGCCCAGAGATGTCACAATCCAGGCCCCCATCCAGCCCCTCCCCAGCGTTCATCTTTTTTATTCCACATCTTGGTCTCCACGCTCAGCCCAAGCTGTGTAAGTTACCACAGCCTCCCGTGAAAGGAGTCACTCTCTACTGAATGCAGGCTTCTTTCCCACACTTACAGTAGACTGAAAGTCCTGACCTTTTCCTTTGTTTTTCCCTACTATCACACAAATCCTCAGAAATACTAATTTTCTGTGTAGCCAAAGCAACTGAACAATTTCTTGAAGTCTTTATAGTCGAAATTTATATTAAACAGCAAGTGCACACCCTGTTGCTAAGGCATCTGTCACTCCACTTCTTCTCTCAATCACTTGTTACCATTTCTTACATACTTTGGGGATAAACTCTTCACCTCTTCAAAATGCCAATACACAGAAAGGGAATGGTGATTTCTGGATACAAGAGTATATTATTACTATTTTTTTAATATTTTACTGTCCACGCAAGGCATAGGATAGAGAAAATTAAGCTGAATTAAGCTTAGTCTCTTGTATACTTAGAGCACTAGAGAAATAACGTATAGCAATACTGGGAGGGATTCTCAATGCACTGATTACAGCCCACAGTATCCAGGGAAGGAATGCAATACATAGAGAAAAAATTCTGCCATTCAGGAACATTTTGAGTGAGGTCTTTTTATACACTTAATTTTGTTTTTTTCTTTCAGCATTTCCCACAGCTAAACTGATGGCAATTGCATGTACCTCTGCCCTACAACTCTACAGCACTTACTAATCTACCACAGAAGTTGGCTTTATTGGAAAAATAATTGCTTTTCTATGGTATATGTTAGGTTGGACTTTGATGTAACTTGTTTGGTTTTTTTTCCCCAAATGACAGAAAAGTAATTCTCATGCAAATATCCTTTTTTTGGGTAATATTTGATATGAAGCTCCCTATAAAATCTTTTACCTATCAGCACACGGTATTCACCAGGAAATGATGTGAGAAGAATAGCCATTAAGGCTGCAGAAAATCACTGCAGAGGTCACAATGCTCTGACATACCTCTTCCTAGTGCTACTTCTCTCAATCTCTATTCAGACCTTGCCTCCCCTGCTGTCTGACTAAACCAAGCTGTGAAGAGCACAATATATGAAGTGCAGCTCTGGCAGATCCTACAGGGGAGAAAATGCAGCTCATCCTTGCTCAGAGCAAGACTTGTACAGGTTTGGGTAGTATAGGAACCCTTCTAACCCAAGCAGCAACTCATGCATTAACATGTAAAAGGCTCATTGTCGACTCTTAACCACAAATAACACATTTACACATAGTGACTTTCAAGGAATGAGTTGGAGAAGACAGAAAGGAGATTCAAGCAATGAATGAGATGGATATAAGTGACATTACAATCCTGGTTACTCTGCACCAACCCAACCAACCCATAACACAACACTGATAAAAGTCACATCACAAGGAATGTACCAAATGCTACAGACAATAATGAAAGCCACAGAGGCTTCTTTACTGTATATACTTTCACATCTTTTCTTCACTTTATATAGACAGGGAAGATACTTACACTTACAGGTTGACTTTTTGGCACATCATAAACGCCTTCCTTCTTTTGGCTGGTAGGAACCTGCAAAATCAAAGGAAAACTGAGGTCAATATCCAAGGAAGTTGGATGAAAACCTGAAATCAGCAACTCGTATTTATGTACAGGGTAGTAATTTAATACTAATGAAATCAAGGACAGTTCCCTTCTCATCCCAGTAGCACCAGTAATGTAGAAAATACTGAAGAAATAAAACATCATCTATCTGTTTTTTCTAAGTCCTATAGCTCAGCAGCGTTCAGAAAAGAGATTTCCATTATCAGACAATTTTGGTTGCATGAATTCCAGGTGCACTTGGATCTGCTTCCTACTGAAATGGCTGTTTTTTCCATACAACTTGAGAGTTAGAGATGCGAAGTTATGTGATGGAAGTTATGATCAAGTGAGTATCTCATCTTCCCAGAGACACAGAGCAGAGTTACTGACCTGAGGGTGAGATGTTTCACCTACGGGTTTAGATTTCTCCCTTCCAATTAATTTAATAATCTAAGTCAAGAAAAGCCATAACATGTACCCCTGTAGTGACGGGGCCCTGTGGCTGCTCTGTGAGATATTTGGTTATAATGCTGCAGTTTTAATACGGAATTAATGGCCTCTTGAAGTATGACACAAGAGACATGGACAGAGGACAACACACTTAAAAAACTTTGGATGAGCTTTTAGTTGGGCCAACAGTCATGATTGGGCATTTATAATCTGTTCATGTAAATTCAGTTGCTTTGTTATACAGGGCTGTGCTTGCCCAAGGACCACTGGTTCCCATATTTATAATTTGTGTGTGTATCTCTTTTTCTTCCTAGAAGCACTGAGTGTTTATTGTAAATGACAAAAGCAAAAAGAATAGTAAAAACATCTTCTAAACTGGCACAAATACTCTAAGAAAATCAGGGCTGCTTTTCCACTGAACAGGGCACTGAAAATTACATTTCAGACATCAGTGAAACCTCACAGGTCACTAAAAGATAATATTGCAAATATTTTTTCTAAGACAAAAAACATCTTAAGGTTCTGATATTTCACTCAGACTGATTTAGGGGAAGTTGAAGGAATGATACTTATTCGTTGAGATGTGCTATTTTTTCTTATTCTGAAAAATTATTCTGTATAATATTCTGTATAACACAAGAAAACCTCCCTCTGCTGTTGTCTCTACTGTTCTCTTGCCCACGTTTTAACACTACAATCTTCACAGGAAACTGTGTGTCATTAATTCAGTGCACACTGAAGAAGTTTGTCGAGAGCATGAATGCAGAACCCTCACAGAAACTGAATAACCTTTTCAAAAGTCCTCTTCTATTCCTATCCTGAGAATGATTTGCTTGCCCTGCTTTTCTCAAAGTACTGGTCACTTCCACTAAAACCACCTATCACATTAGATATGTGGAACCGGTAACAGTGGAGCAATTCAATTCCATGGCAGTAACGGTCTGTTAAGAGAGAGAGCTGTAAGTGACTGTGAGAGCAGGAACCAGGAAGAGTCTATTTAGGAAGTGACTAGAAAGCTGAGTCTTCATAAAAAGAGGACAAGTATGGAAAGATAAACTGTTTCTAAATTTTCAACAGGATGCATTTTTTTTGCTCTCTGGAAAGTTTTCCTTTCAGTCATTCTCCTCTTCCTCCTTCCAATTTTTCTATGAAGTCACCCCACTTTGCACATCTGCCTGCAGTTTATTGTGGAATAAACATTTCCCTGCACTATCAATCCCCCTTTTTTTATTCCGGTTTACATATAGAGAAAAGCTGACTCCTAATACACGACAGAGAAACTTTTCTGAAAGACATTCTTCTCTCCCAACGTGATACCACCTGTCTTCCTGCTGTTTTTACTTCCCATGTATCATCACGCTTTTTGCATCGCTACTCACACAGGGGGTCCACAAAGGATTTCTGTTTTTCCTTTGATTAACAATACCAGCAAAGAGGTACCAGCACTGCTGCTGCTGTCAGCTCTGTCTGTGACAGGCTGTGAAATATTTGGATGTATTTGTGTCTCACCAGCAATACAAGCATTGCAATTCAAAAACCTCCATCTCGGACTGTCAACTCCTCATGGAGCAGAACTTGCCTCCCCACAGAGACCAGTGCTGCTGCCAAAGACAACACCAAACCACCTCCCAGAATCCCATCTCCACCTCACCAGAACACCAGGCAAGAGGAGAGATGCTATTAAGCCATCTGACACTAGATGAGAGGATTGGCATGTGCTCAGTGACTGAGTCCTTGCCTAACACATTACAGCAACTTACATAGACAACGTTAAAAGAGCAGACACAGAGAGTCTTCCGGGTAATGTATCAAAGAAAGGTGACAGACAGAGAAAGAATGCTTAAAAAGAAAACTGTGACCTCTATTATGCTAAAGAGAAATAGAAATTGTCACTTTCAGCACATATCTTTCATCTGCAATTCCCCACAGGGTATCTTTTCCACCAAGGGAGAAGTGCACACCAGCAAATGAAACGCCACAGCAAAACCAGCAGAAAGATTTGGTGAGGCTGAAGTAAGGCTGCATGAGGTTATTGAGCAGTTACACATGTAGTATGGGGAAGGTTTTGTAGTAAATAATAGAAGCTGCCACAGCATTGCATCAAACTAAAAAAAACCCACAATGCCAAGCAAACAAACGAAAACACACACACACAAGAAAAAAAAGAAAAAATAAAAAGAGGACCTTTTCTAATTTGATTTTTAATAGTAGCCTGGATGGTTCTGAGAAACAATTTTGTCAGTGATCTGCGTGTAAAATCTGAACTGTGGAAACTCAGATTTACAGTAGCCAAGAGCTCATGAAGCCTGTGGGAAGCTCATGGCTACGAGCCAGTCTGTGGCAGCAATGCCTCAGCATCCATCAATTACAACTGATACCACAAAAAGACCCCTGGCTCCCTAATTTCAGCATTTGCTGTACTCAAGGTACTGCCTGTAGTAAATACAGAGGACAATGCTAGACTGTATATAGTCAGAGTATGGCATATTGACCACAGGTATTTTCTGTGCACCACTGTGGGAGGAAACACTTCATCACATCCAGATACTGTCAAGTAAAGGCTTCAGCAATTCTCTGGTGACTTACAGGACAATAACACCAGTACCTTGAGATGAGGCAAGACCTCACTACCTGCTTATCATCTTTAGTTTCCATTTTAAGGAAAAGAAATTCCTCCAGAATTTCCTCCATAAAGTCCTCCTGTTCATTGGGCCATTCCTCAGAATACAGTTCCAGATTGTTTTCCCACCAAGGTTCGCTCTAAGATCTACAAACACTGTGAGCAACAGCCCCATTTTGCTTCCTTCCACCAGTACTTCTCTAAAATGTCACTAAAAGCTCCGTACTTTGATGAACAATCGGCATTTTTTTGCCTGAATGTAGTTCTCAAGGGATTTTTGTTTGCAGCATAAACCTGACAAATAGAGAAGTAATTTTTTAACATGCTGAAAACAGTCAAACTTTCAATACTGAAAATGTTCAGCCTTAGGCAGACTCTCACCTTGAGAGCTTTGCGTGCCTTGGTCTAGAGATGCAAAAAGATACATATTCCAGTGGGGGTTGTGGGAGTGCCAGGAGATCAGCAGAGATAGATCAAATGAATCTCATATTAATGACCCTGTAATGGTTATTTTCTAATGTTTAACCTGTATTTCCCTTTCTCACTCAGCTTCTTTCTATTTTGGCTTACAGCTACACTATCCTATCATTTTTTCTATTATCTTCCTATATTTTCTCATTACCTAATACTTTTCCTTTTTTTTTTTTATTGTTCTATCCTTGCTCCTGTGTACCTTAAAATCTTTTCCTATTTGCAGATCAACCTCTAGCACAGCTAGATGAAATTCTTAATCACTGCTTGAAACTCCTTCCCCTCCACACTAAATGATTTCCTTGAATCACAGGGTTTTTTACAGCATACAAAGATTTCTGTCTATCTTCAGATTTGCCTCTAGTATGTGATACAAAATGAATTACATTACATTTTAATAAACCTTGTACTGATCCCTTGAGGATAAATTGAATGACAAAAGATTATTTTATATTACTTTCAATGCAATTTTTTGTCAGGGTGAAGAATGTGAGCTTGGGCTCTAACATAACATATGCACTCTGAAAATACTTTCCCTGGTCTGGGGGATATCCCTTGAGAACTCTGAGGTTTTGCTCAGTTATTTCCTTGGTTAGCCAGAAGGAAGAGCAGTACCATCAAAATTTCTAGGAATTGCTTGGATGGTCTGGCCTCTATGATATGCATGCTTCTCAGGATAGGTGTAAAAAATTCCAAAAAATTAACAGAAAAAGAGAATCCACTATTTATCACCTTATATGGTGCATTCAAAAGTTTAAGACCCTTCATAAGTTGACAAAGTTAATATAATTTGTAGAAGCTGAAATGACAAACAACAGAAAAATCACATTGAGACCAGGCAGATAATTCACGTCATGTCACCAGAATGAAATACCAAGACATTTTTGTGATGAATGAAAACTAAAAGTGAACTATATATGAAATGTGCTTTATTAAATGCTTGCAATCGCTGCGATGGAAACACCGAAGGTGGAGATTTTATACCTGATAAATGTTTTCTTCCGTTTCAGGCTCACGGATCGGCTCGTGTCCAGCCTCAAACACAATGTACTATTACACCAGCCGCCAGAGAGGAAAAGTCAAAGATGAAACAGAAGGGAAAAAGGCGATTTGGAATTCCACGTCAAAACAAAGGCAGGCATTAAAGAAACAAGTTCAAAGTACAGGCTGGCAGCAGGATAACCAGTTTGTTGGAAAGCACCAGGTAAGGCTGTTTCATATTTCATAAACCGGCAATGAACAGCCCTAAATCTCCTCTAATGATCATTAGAGCAACTTCCTAGTTCTTTCTCACTAGGGAGACCGCCTGTGGCCCAGTATTAATTTTCTGAAGTCAACATGAATTTTGCCTTTTTTACATAATGGCAATTATTTCCACATATATTTATTATCTATGAATAAAAATGCTAAATCCAAGCTGGGAGAATAGGCTGGTGCACATGGGACAGGGCACATGGCAAAAGGCTGTCACAACATTTTTAATTTTCAGGTTCTTGCTTTATTGTGAAGAGTACAGAGTAAAACTCCTGACATTATAAAAGCTGAATAGTAATTTAGGGCATCCTCATTCTTATCATCTTTCTTGCTGCACCTCAGGCACTGTTCAATATTCACTAATGCTTGAATTGGTTCCTTTCACGTGCCTCCCACTGATATGCCTAAGTGGAGGAACACAAAATCCCCAGGAAAAAAAAGTCAACTATTGCATATTTTTGTTTCAGCACAAAAACATAAGAATTAAAGTACATCTTTTTCTTCTTAACACTCACTAGGATATCAGACATGAATATATTGACGTATTTCTGATAATCATCTTTGCTCCCAGACATTTTGCTTGGATGAAACAAGACTTAAATTTCAGATCTGTTATTAAATTGTAACCCAAACACCAACAAGGGAGTGTGTTACAACATCAATGTCACTGTTGTTTTTTTCCAAATATTCACCCTCTGAATTAAATTCTGGCTCCACAGAAGACAAAAACAAAATGTCAACTTATTACTATCAAAACGAGATGTCACCTTCCCTAATTCTCAAAGTAGCTCCCTTTCCAGTTAGAGTTTGCATTAAAAAATGATGACAAATCTAATTTGGAAACTTAAAATCTGGATGTACAAGCCACATTTTAAGTAATATTTATGACACATTAATCCAACTGAACATATTCTATTCTATTCTATACAGACATATGGTGCTATTACTTACAGCTTAATCTCTAAATATGCTACTTTCTATAAAAATCTTAAAGGTTTCTCACAAGACCTATCTCGGTAAGTTTCAAAACATCTTGTTAAAGGTTTTGACTGTGTTTGAAGATAACATACATCTAGTCATTTCTGAAACTCCAAGGCCATACAGCTTCAGAAATTACCTGGTATACAGGATCTTCTACATCTTCTTCCAAAATTGTCTACAGCAAAGTAAGAGGACAGGCAGTAAAAGCAAAGAACATAAACAGCAGAGATAAAAGAACTGTACTCAGAAATTAAAGGACAGCAAAGAAATAAGCAAAATTGGCAGGTAAGTATAGTTTTGTTTCTTTAGGATACAGATAAAGTCACATTAGTGCACAAAGTAACTTTATTCAAGTTTCATCCGAGTTTAACAATCTGTACCTCATTTGCTTTGACTCAAATACACACATTCAGAAATATATTTAACCTTCCCTAAAGTATCAGACACTGTTAAAACCTGACTTACAACACTGACCTTCATTAAAGTTTTCCTTCTGAATTAGAAGAAACACTAGGCAGGAAATGAGCAGATCATTTCCAGTTGCTAAACAGGTTCATCACACCCCAAGTGACAGCTTTCATCACTTTAATCCTACGTCTGAGCTCACGATGGCTGTTGGGTTCACACTGGTCCGTTTGAAGCCAACACCGTTCAAACCCATTGCTGTTAAGAAGTGCTGAGGATGCTCAGTGCCTCTTTGGAGCAACTTGGGGGGATACTTCAAACCAAGCTTTTCTTGGCAGTAGTCTAAGCTTATTCGTGTACCTGGTATACCGCTTGTTCACACTGTTTGTCCTTTTGTGCCTTTTTTTCCATTTCTTCCCTTTGTTTCAGTTCATAGATGAGCTGAAACAGGTCTCTCAAGTCCAGGATTACTGGTTCAGCCTATGGAAGCAAAAACAGGAAGGAAAATTTCTGCATGGGAAAACATACACCTCTTATCCCACCCTGCTGATAGAGCAGTTACAGCATCTCCACAATTGAACCTCATATAGAATTAATTTCTATTTTAGCATCCAGGCTTGGGTTAATTTCTACTGAACTAACTATACTTGAAAATTAATTATAATTATAGTTATGAATATAAAAAGCATTATGAATATAAAAGGCATATGCATGAATATAAAGGCAAAATTATTAGCGGTTTCACATCCAACAGAATTACAGTAGACTATACACAATGTAGGTTTCAGTGAGTACAGGCATATAACCAAACTTATCTGCATCCAGTCTAGCTTAGCCAGAAAGGAAAACAATAAGAAATGATCATGAAAAACTGGAAATAGTGAAATACATTCCCTTTTGCCCAAGCTGGTTTCATTAACTTGCTATTTAGGAACATCTAAGCAGACACTCATGACTAGTGTAGCAGAATCAGAAACAACCCGAGATTGGCCTCTTGAATAGCTTGCTATGAACAGCTTTTTAGTTGAGTTACATGGTAGAAAATGACAGTGATTTGATACTTACTGCCTGGGCTGTTTTTATTGCCACAAATCTATGATTCCCCTCCTTTCCACACACATATCCGAACGCTCGGTGGTCTGTGATATCCTTTGCGATGTATGAAATTTCATGAACTGCATGGTGATGCTGTAGTAGCTATTAAAAAACAAAACAATAGAGAATTACATCAAAGTGTTGGATTAAAAAACAGTATAATTTTTCTTTCATCAGTGCTTTACCTGGATCTCAATTCACCTATGGAATTCAAACAAGCAAACACATCCTCGTATCAAACCAATTAATATCTGAACTCTTTAAGCCTGGTTTTTCCTCAAAATCTAGACAAACTTGACTTGCTTTAGTAAGTCGACTAAGAGCTTCCACTGAAGATTTTTCTTGGTGTCTTTTAGCGAGATATAATTAAATAAAAAATGTGCTTCCTAGTTATTACCTACACAGCATCCGAGACACAGAATCAGTATTTGTAGGTGTATATATATAAGCAGGGGCTGCAGATACCTGTAGCTTCATACAGGATGACTCTGAGGCCAGGCTGCTCTGCAGGAGCTGCAGAGCTACAGCTGAGATCTCCAATATCTCTAAGAATTGGCACCAGACCTGCTTTATCTCTGCAGCGCTCAACATCAGCCAGTGAGAGAGATTTCATTTCAAGCAGTAATAGAACTACAAACAATTATTTTCCCCAGAAAGCTAATGGAAATGCAATTATTCAACTTGAAATCATGCTAAATGCAAAAGTTCACATTTTACTTAAAATTCCACTTTGGTGAACTGTAATAATAAAAAGACTCAATTTTGGTTTAAATGTATGACTAAAACTCTCCTCAAAGTCAGGACACAAATCTAAGACTCCTATAAGCATCTTTTGTAGTGCCAGAATCTTTCTCACTCTGGCCTAAATAGTATTCTATTATCAAGGTAATAAAGAAGTATTTCTACTTAGAATGATGTCCTTGAAAAGCTTATCTAAAACAATCTATTATTCAATTTCTACCTTCTGATATATTGACCTGCTCTTATATCCTCTAGGGATAATGCTATTTCTGAGAGCAGGCAAAGCCTCACAAAGAATTCTTTTGAGGTCCAGATTCCTGCTGGTTTTGAGAAAAGCACATTTTGAAAACCAGCATGGTATCCAGACAATCTCTAAACAACCAGTTATTTTTAGAGTTTTGAAAAAACCAAACATTTTAAAATTCAAAAGCAGAGAGGATGTCTGTGTGTGCAAGAGAAAAGGCTAAGCGTGTGCAGGGCAAGAGACAAGCGATGGGACTTCTGTAGGACAGGGAGTGAAATCTGAAAGGAGAGGCAGCCTGCAAGAGATGGATGACTCCATATAAAACAAAAGACTGGACATGTTTCATTTTCATTTCACAGTAAATGGCTCTTAACATCCCAAGATCAAGATTGCTTGCTCGTAGGAGAGTAGAAGTGTTGCCATTGACTTCAGGCAGAACGTGGCTGAGCTGAAGGTGCACTTCAGGCTCTCCCGGTGTGTTAAGCGTTTAAAATTAATGACAGGATCTTACTTAGATAATACAGGGATATTGATTTATTAGAGTTTTTTTGAAAACCAAGTTACATGCTATCTGTTACAATGAAATGAAATGTTCCCATCTCTCTATTCTGCATATGACAGGGAACGTTATCTCTGGCTCCTATTAAATCAAAGTCCTTTGACATTGCTTTATTGATTGCCAGGCAGCATTTTGCACTGAAATTAAACTGTGATCAGATGCCTCCTTTGTGGAATTAAATTTGAAGACCACCGTACCATGGAAGAGTATCACTCCCAACGTAAGACAGCAGATGGAGACCCTCCAATTTATTTAGGAATCCTCACTCACTATTACACTTTTAATGGTTATGATATTTTACATACTGCATCAACAGAAGTATAAATTAAGTAAAGGTGACTGCAACATTATCCTTTTAGGTATTTTACTGTATGGCATGTCTAGGAAGAGTTTTTCATTTGTTTGAGGGATACTGAGTTGGAACATACACATGAAATGCAATGTTGCATGCACACATCTGTACTCAAATGTAGATATAAACACTTCTTTGTACATGTTTTTTCACAGTCCTTCATTCACCTAATGTGTCCTTTATACATATTACAATACTCTATTATTTAACAACTTCCTGATTTTTTTGCTCTTGCGAAGCAGAAATAGGAATCCTGTTGCAATCAGGAGAGATTCACCACTGTAAAATGAAAGATCAGAACTGCATCCCTTCTGTAAATATTTATTTAAGGACTCAGCCTGCCCAGGACCCTGCAGAGCCCTTCACAGCAGTGAAATGTGTGCTAGAGCGAAGGACAGCAGAAGGGACAGCACGAGGAGAAACACCATCTCATTCAGTCACCCAACAGAGACAGACACTTGAGGCTATCTATAAATACTCTTTGCATGTTTGGATCAGATGTGTGTCTGATGCATTTGCATAGATTAATCTGTCCCATTAAATGAGGTCAAACAAAAGAAATGTTATGTTTATCCCTCAGATTGTAACTGCTCACATGTAGCCACCCCCTCGCTACTTGATATGAAAGGAAATGAAACAAAAGGCACACAAATTGCTTAGAGCAGAATGGCTGGTCAGTGCTCACAAGCTGATCTGCCCCTCTTTCTCTCCATCCTCTTTTTTTTAATGTATTTAGTATTTTCAAGTCTTTACCGTGACTAAATCCTGTCTCTAGTGGTCATAAGCACAAAAATGAATTATTTCATAACTTGACACCCCTGTATGCCAATGCTGATGGATTCCATCACACATTATTGGGTATTTTTTCTGTATCTGTGCCGAGAGCTGCTACGAACCATTTACCAATTCTTAAGTGAGGTATCAAATTGTTTTGGTGTGCTGCAGTACGACAGAACAAATTATAGAGAAGACTTAATTTGTATTATGGTTCAATACAGTCAATTATATACTTCAGAGATTAAAAAGTAATTTAACATTTAAGTTTCAGTTGTTAAAAAAATCCACTGCCTCCAAATTATTTTAGGTCTCCTGTGACTTTTAGTTATTGTTGGAAACAGAGATTTTGAATGGAAGCACAGATAAAGTCTCAAACTGGCTAAGAAGACAATCTTCTGATACACCAGTCCTTCTTTTTAGGCTAAACATGACATCATAATCATATTTTATTCACACACTAAAAAGTTTTTGCCTGGTGTTAAAATTAAAAAGTCCAAAATACCCACCACCACCAAGGCTGCTGTCTTGCCTCTTCTCCTTAAGTTTGCTCTGGTCTCTCCCACTGGCCATTATTTTCTCTCCTTGTCTCCATTCTATCGCCCGCTTCTCCTCTTCCCCCAGGTTGCTCCCTGTACATCACACTGAATTGATTTAGCTGCCTCTGAGATCTGTAGCATTTCTAATTTCCCTCAGGCTGCTTGGCACCTATCATAAATTTTTTCACCCCTTATCCTCATCTTGCCCCTTTATTTCCATGCTGTAGCCTCCAGTGCCACTAAATCAATTAAGTCAATCAATTAAGTACTTGGAGGGTCCAGCAATCATGTCAAATATGTGAGTTAGGTGGCATGAGAAAGTCACTGCTTTACTATCGCTATTTCTCTTTTAATGAGGTTGTCTATTTAGTGGACCCTGGGGCACAGCGTTAAGAGCCACAACAAAAATACCCTGCAAGCTGCAAAGCCTTCTAGAAAAGCTGCCCCACCAAATGCAGGAAGCAGGTTCCACACAATATTATATCCATAAGGACAAGTTTCACAGGGATTTAGTCTGCACAGCCTTTCAGCTTGAGCATCTAAATGGTGAACCTGGTTTCAAATAGGTGGGATCAACTGGCAGCTCCACCAACAATGGATACTGGGATACTGGGAGACAGACATGGACCAAGCATCCTTGAGTTTCTATTCCTGCCTATTCACTTCTACCACATTTGAATAAGCAGCAATACACTTTAAGTGTCACATAAAGCTCCCCAAACATCAAAGTTACCCATCAAATTGCAAAATTCTTAATGGATTAATAATAAAATAAGTTTGTGGACTATAGATTCAGTCATGTTGCTGTCTACCTTCAAGTCCCCTGTATTCCAACTCAGCAGCATATAAGGAAATCAGGTCCTGTATGTTCAGGAATACCACTGAAAAAATCACAGAAATTGAACCTCACATGGAAAATTAATGGTAAAGCCTTAACAACAAGCTTAGCAAACCTTAAGTGCAATAGGACATCGACCATTACCTACTGCAACACATTCAGTGAAAACAATGACTTGTAAACCACGTGAGTGGCTCTGAGATTAATTTTATCTCATTGCTGCAAGAAACGTGGGTGTGATACAGATGATTCTCCCTCACTACACCCAGGAGGTTGCTGTGTCTCTTAACAGGGCTCAAGATGTGTATGCTATAGCACTTGGTCAAATGTTCTTCGTGGCCATTTCCTTACAATTCCTGTTTGTTTTATCATAGATTTGCAGGGATCAGGGGGACAACAACTGGCCACAAGCATTTCTCCAATTGCCTGTGTTTGTGCTGCAGTGCTTCTCCGCTGTTTCGTTAAAATGCACTTATAGTAGGGTGGTCTGGAGCTGCTCATCTCCACCATAAACACCCCACAGTCCATACAAGTGCCCATGGCAGCGGGGTTGGAATTTGATGATCTTTAAGGTCTCTTCCAACCCAAGCAATTCTATGACATGAAACACCTAAAGTTATGAAGATTTCAGTATTTGGGAGGCATTTCCTGGCACTGGCCAAGATGATCAGTTTTGGTCATAAAAAGAGTATAAATGGAACATACTAACAAAGAGTAGGAACTGAACCCTTTTGCTGTAGGAGACTGAACATGTGCTATGTCCTACTCAGCCAAAATGAATCAGTCCAATCCTGAATCTGACGCAGAGCCACTCATGGAATGTAGGCCGAGCAATAGGTTATGGACTTTCCATCTGCAAAAAACCCACCCCAAGAACAAGAGTAGAAAAGGAAAATGTAACCTCTGGAGTGTTCTCCAGGCCTGAAGGGACTTCTCAGACAGCAGCCTTTAAGCCTGTCTTCACAATGAGAGAAAATAAATCTGTCTAATCCCTGTGCTTCTTCCACACACACTGATTTCGCAGACAATAACCTAAAGAAAGACTTTTCCAAGTG